AATAGGACAAGACAATGGAAAATCTGATGAGTTGCTGAGTGTAAAACTGATGATCAGCTGTGTAAACATTCACCTAATTTATAATAAAAAGTTAAAAAAAAGAAATCAAGTGATTTGTTGCATTGAGGATATCTGCTGCGAAAAGCAAAAGTATCCCTTTGAGGACTAAGGTGTATCTGACCCAAGATGTGGTATTTTCACGCACCTCAGATGTATTCATAAGCTCGAAAATAAATAATGATGACAAATGAATAATAGACGTCTTTGAATTATGGTATGGTGAAGAGTATTAAATAAGAGGGCACTTCAGAAAGTTGAAATATAGTTGAAAGATAATGGAAAATTTCCACCAACTTTTGAAGTAACCTTTTATATCATGGCATGCTAAACGAACAAACAAATCGTTCTTGGAAGAAGCATAGCTAGATTGCTTGCTAGCTAGTTGGTGAGACTCATGCATTTTGGAAATGTTATCAGGAGGGTCTAGTCCTTGGAGAACGACTCAAAAAACTCTCACTGCCACTGAGTCAATGCTGACTCAAAGTGACCCCTGTGGGTTTCCGAGACTGTAACTGTTTACAGAAGTAGAAAGCCCAGTTTTTCTCCCACGGAGCTGCTAGTGGTTTTGAATTGCTGACCAAGCAAATCGCAGCCAAACACATAACCACTACAGAAAACAACAATGGAAAACAAACAAAACAAAACAAAAAGTCATTGCCATTGAGTCTATGCAGACTCATAGTGACCTTATGGGACTGGGCAGAACTGCCCTGTGGGTTTCTGAGATTATAGCTCTTTTGTTTGTTTGTTTTTTTCCTTAGGAAGGTTGAGAACCACTGTGCTAGTGAATCAGTTTCTTCAAAATTGAAGTCATTTTCAAATCTTTGGTCATTAGTGTTCAGTGCATAAAATATATTCTTGATATGGTTTCTAAGTCCAGGTCCTGGCAAAGAACAGGAAAGGCATCGTGGACCGCCGACAGAACAAGCTAATCTGTCTTGGAAGAAGTATAGTCCGAAAGCTCCTTAGAAACAAGAATAGTGAGACTTCCTTTAATGCATTTTGGACATGTTCACAGGAGAGGACAGTCCCTGGAGACAGCATGCTGGGTAAAGGAGAGGGCAGCAAACAAGAGGATGCAGTCCTTGGTATGTTCAGTATTCTTTGCCCACATCATGATTCAAAGGCAGACCCTCAACAAGACGACTCAACACAGTGGCTACACGGTGGCCTGTCTTTTTATTTTAATCGTTTTATTAGGGGCTCTTATAACTCTTATCACAATCCATACAGACATCAATTGTGTAAAGCACATTTGTGCATTCATTGCCCTCATCATTCTCAAAACATTTGCTCTAAATTATCAAGGGCTCATGAGGGAGGGGAGAGCGGAGAGGGGGGGAAAGAATGAGGACCTGATGCCAGGGGCTTAAGAGATTATAGCTCTTTACAGGAGCAGAAAGCCCGGTCTTTCATGGAAAAAGAAGATCTTCAAAGAGGTGGATTGACACACTGGCTGCAACAATAGATTCGAACGTGGCATTGAGCTTGGGGCAGGACCAGGCTGTGTTTTGTTCTGTTACATGTAATGTTGCTATGGGTCAGAACTAACTTGGCACCAAAAAACAACAGCAATGAATTAGGGAATTTAGGTAATGATCCTTGTTTGGCTACAGCACATTAAATGATTCCCAATGGAATACATAACACTATCTATGAAATACTCTTGCTCCCCCCCTGCAAATAATACCTGGATCTGATTGAAACTGTAGGTCTAGCCACCAATTTATAGGAAATAAAGGGCACATAGGAATGTGTGAACAGACCCTGTGAGAGTCCAAATCCCAAAATCCAGTCGGTGGGAAAATGCATAGAACAAATGACCCAGTTTCTTCAGCAAGAAAAATATTCCCAGAGGAAGAAAAAGATGCAGAAGGAGAAATTATAGGTAAACAACCATCTAAATAACCTACTAACCAGGCACATTGGTTGTATTTTATTTGGTTCTTGATTTAAACAAAGCAAGCTGAAAATTTTTTTTAATAATTAAAAATTAGTATGCTTGTTTTCAGTACTGAGGTTGTTTTAAAAGTAATGAGCTTTTGTTTAAAGAGTCTGTGTTTCTACTGTAATTTGAGAGGGCTTCAAAAGATTTATGGAAAATGGAATTAAGAGAAGAGAATTTTTACACAAACTTTTTAGACTTTGTTATATACCGCATATACTCAAGTATAAGCTGACCTGAATATCAGCCGAGGCATCTAATTTTACCACAAAAACGGCATTAAGGAATGTGCTGAAACACTCGGCTTATACACGAGTATGTATGGCTCAAATATTTTATAATGAAATTATAGTGGTTTTTGAGATTAGGTATAAAATAGACTGGTTGAGAGAGAATTGAATTTTGGAGGCATAGATGAAATATGATTAGCCATGATTTTATAAATTTTGAAAGCTGGACAATGGGTAGGTGAAGGCTCACTAAACTAGTAGTTCATAAAGTGTGGTCAACCAATCAGTAGCTTCAGAACCACTTAGACCATTTTTAAAAGGGAAAATTCTTGGGTCACACTTAAGATCTACTGAATCAGATACTCGGGTTGGTGTCAAGCAATAATTTAAGGAATCCTCTGGGTTATTCTAATATACACTGAGATTTTACAAAATTTGCTGTATATTATTTTTCCTATTTTAGTTTATGTTTGAAATCTTAATCATACTTATACAAATTAAAAAGGAAAAACTATGTTGATGAATGTATAAAGCCAACATTTATAAATAACTATGAGCAGCTGGTTTAGGAAGTAAGTCCAGGATTGTTAAATTTTTAAGAGATAGATGAATTGGCAAGGTACTAACACTGAGCCAACCGTGAATGATAGTCTTAAAAGTATAACAAAGTTTACTTTAAAAAAGAATTTTTTTTAAGTCACTTGACTCCATAGCAGTGAATTTGGTTTTGGTTGGAACTAGCTCTAACTGAGGAGCCCTGTTGGTGTAGTGGTCACGGGTTGTGCTGCGATCTTCACAGTCAGCAGTTCTAAACCACCAGCTACTCTGCGGGAGAAAGGCTGGGCTTTCTTCTCCCGTAAACAATTACAGTCTAGGAAATCCATAGAAGTGTCGATTTGAGTCTGCATTGAGTTGAGAGTGAGTTCTAACTAGCTATTTCATGCTGCTGGTCTGAGGACCACACCACATTGAGTGACATAAAGTAAGGGGTAGTTTCATTAAAGAAGAGCACGAATGTTAAGGGGCGATGGGTAGCACCACAACATTACAGCGAAGGAGGTTGTCTTCTGTTCTACAGAGTAGAAATGCAAATGTGAATTGAGTGTACCATGGTATATTGGGGAATAGAAGTGATTTTAAGGGTTAAAATTCTTTTAAAAAGAACAAAGGTTAAATCTTTTTGTGTTGCAAATAAAATCGTTTAACTTTACTGATTTAACAAAATGTAACCTTGCCCTAAATTAAAAAATAAAAGCTATTGAAACTATTGAGACCTGTTCTCACAACTAACATATGATAAAATACAAAATACTTAGTTAAAAAAAAACCCCAAAAAACCAATCTGCTTTCTGTGGACATGGTTGTGTTAGTATATTTTTAGATTGCTACAATAATTTAAAACAACAGAAATCATACCTTGATTTTAAAAAAAATTGTAAGAGTTTAATATGACTTGCCTATTATGGTACTTTTCTATTCTTCAAAATTTGGTTTTAAGGACAAGTTCCATGTTGTAGAGTTTGTTTTGTTAGTACATGAGAACTGTGAAAGAAATAAGATATAAGCTGTAATAATCTTAGCTCAATATTTCTTTCTATTTTCTCCTCCCATTGTTGTTGGGAGCTGGCCAAAAGTTTGGAAGAATAGGAAGATAATGTATATGACTTTTGTCAAATAAGTAATCCTTGTAGGAAATACGGGTGCTACTCCTGAAAAACAAAAAGAAGTGCATATAAGGTCACTTTTTATAACTGGTTTTTCTTACTGTCATATTCATGCGCTTATTGCTATCTTTAGATAACTTTCCCAAAGAGATAAGTAGGTTTTAGGACAGGTTAAGAATCCCTGGGTAATGCAAACAGTTAACATGCTATTAACTGGAAGGTGAGAGGTTCGAGTCTTATCCAGGGTCATCTGGGCAGAAAGAGCTGGTGATTTACTTCTGGAAAATCAGCCACTGAAAATCCTGGAGGGTCCTCCTGTGAGAGTCAGTCAGCTCTGCTGCTGCTAGAAACAGGAGAGATTGTACCTACTGCATTCTGAAAGGAAAATAAAAAATAGACTATAGGTCAGTTGGCCTATGATGTTATGACGTTAGATATGAAGTTCCCTTGATATCTTGACACATTGGTCAAGCGCACTATTACTAACCTAAGGTTGGTGGTTCCAATTCACGAGTGGCATCATGGAGGAAAGGCCTGGTGATCTGCTCACATCAAGATAACCCTCAAGAAGACCTTGAGGAGCGTTCCACTCTAACACACCGGGCTGCCCCGAGTCGAAATCAACTGCTGTGGGTTTGTTTGTTTATCAGGGATGCTATAGTTATTTTGGGCTTTTACTTTCAGTTTTTAGTGGCGTTCTTGGACTAAGGTATTCATAAAGTTTTAGGTGTAGGTACTATAGAGATCCTTAAGGAATTAATAGTGAGAGTCTTTAGTGCTTTTCTATTGACTATTTGTGTTTGTCTGTTAAGTATTATGACTGAAATATAATAATGTGAATTTAATTAATGCTTCTTTTGTTCAGTTCTTGAGAGATTGTATATATTGTTTCATTATGCTCAACTGTATACTTTAAAAATTATATGTGTGTTCTGTTTTAGTACTGTGTAATTTTATTTTAAATATTTTTATAATTCCAGAATAAAGATACATTCTTAACATAATTATCTTAATATAGGAACATTTTACCACTTTAAAACTTGCTTCATTTAAAAAATGATTACTATTAAATAGATTTTTCTCTTCCTCTTTCTTCTCCAGTGGTCATATGCTTTAGAAAAGCCCAACACAGGCAGCATATTTAATATTGCCTGGTCAATTGATGGTACTCAGATCGCTGGAGGCTGCGGAAATGGGCATGTTGTTTTTGCACATGTAGTGGAGCAACGTTGGGAGTGGAAAAATTTTCAAGTTACACTAACTAAAAGAAGAACCATGCAGGTATGATTATTATTATAACTGCCTCTTTTCAGATAAGGCCACTATACAGATTATAGAATTATTCTCATTATTAAATGGAAATATTTTTGGAAAATTGTATTTAAATCAAGTTCACACGGATTCATTCACCTTAGGAATATTTCAACGATGCCAGGAGTAACTTTCTTTCTTTTCTTTTAACATTTTAAAAGATAGTTTATTTGCATGTATTTCACATATCATACACTTTAATCATTCAATCATATTAAGAAGAGTTGTGCAATCATCAATTTCAAACATTTTCATTTTCCCCCAAACTTCTCAACCATGCCCTTAGGTAATTATTAATCCAGTTACTGTCTCTGTGTTAGTCTGGGTAACAAATTCATAGACATCATATGTGTTTAGGAAAGAGCTTTATATAAAGAGTAATCCTTCCTCTAGTTCCTAAAG